CAAGACTTGCCTCCATCAGTCTAGATTAAATACGCTAAATGTTCAGTTTTTCAACTTCTTTTTTCGTCGATTCTCTGATTAGTTGATAACATTTTCTCATTCATTTTTGCCTTTTTTTTCTTTTCTTAGCTTTTCGTTCTTACCTTATCTCACCTTTGTTCAGTCTATTTATGGTTCAAGATTTATGTTGAATCTGCAAAAATACCTTTGGGAGGTTATCTCTTGTTTCATTCTTTCCTCATCATCTCAACTTTCTGTTTCTTTATCATTTCGATTTTTACTTCATTTTCTTTTCTACCTGACTATTCCATTGACAAGTGAATCAATGGTGATTGACAAGCTTCTTTATCGTATAAACATAAATACATAGTTTCCAGGATAAATAGCTAGCAAGTACTTTATTTGATATTAGTAAAGAGTCTCATGGTACCTGGAATATTGAGGTAAAAAAGGTTACAGCAGATAGTGATGATTATGATGATAATGGCGATGATAAAGTCTATTAACTATCAAGTGACCTTATCCATTTTCGCCCCTCACTTGATTCGCAGGTCAATCATTCGACTCATTGATCGATTGCCGCGTTTTAAAGATAAGAAAATAATTTTTTCTTTTCATGATAAACTATCTTTTTGAATCTTTTCAAACATTGCAAAAGACGAAAAAGATCGCTTTGCGTTTTCAATGTTTATCAATTTTCCACTGATTCATGATATTGATTCATCGGTCGAAGGAAGCATTTCCAAAATCTGAAAATTCTTTTTGAAGTTGAAAGATGTTCAAGATCTTCAGATTTGATAACCTGTAATTCCTCAAATAATGTAAGAACAGAAGACTTGAATTTTCGAAAAAAAGAAACAAAATATACAAGATTCAGGTGGAAAAAGGTAGAAATTGAAATGATAAAAAAAAGAAAATCTTAAAATCTCATCAAAGAAGTAAAGAGATGAAGAAAAGTTTTGATCTGAAGGAAAGATTCTGATAAGTTGAAAAAGATTTCAGTTGAAACTGATAAAATTGTATTGATCATCTTTTCCAAGATTATTTCCTCATCTTTTCTCTCTCATCTGCTAATCTTTGGAAATGATGAAAATATGATGAGAGTGGAAAAAATGTATCAACAATTGACATTAAAGGTGTTGGTTTCTTCGATGGAAGAACAAAGTTTTGGAAAATAAAATTTCAAGTTGAAGGAAAAAAATTGAAGCTCACCTTACGTTTGGTTCAGTAACAATTTAAAACATAATCATCTAATCATTTGAATCGTTCTAATAGTTGTTGACTTGAGAGAGCAAAAAAGGAAACTTTTCTTTCCAAATTTTCAACATTTTCCTCTTCAAACCTCTTTGTCAACATATTATATAAATGTTTGTTTCATCTTTTTTTGCTTCATTCACCATCATTTCCACCTTTATTTGACCTAAAATTGTCTTCTTAAAAGCTTTCCAAATCTCGAAAAGTAAGGAAAGGCTGGAAAAAAATCGTTTCTCGAAAAAACAAATTAAACCTTTTTTAAGGATAAAAATTTCTTTGCCATATTTTCGCTGAAATTGAGATGAAACTCAGCACAACTTTGTAATTATTTTTTGGCACACACTAAAATAATGACCTGTGATGCTGAATTTAGAAATTCTTTATTTAAAATTTCGATTCAAGAGATCAAAATATTCAGCTCTTCATGAATGTAAAAGCAAATGAAGCTTTTTTCGCAGAAATCATTCTTGCACAAAATCAAAATTAAAATGTTTTACTGCTCCATTTGCCATATTTGAGCAAGTTTATCATTCAACAGAGGTAATAAGTTTAAGTCAAGTAATGAGAATGTCGAACATGGCGCGGGATGAAAAGGGAATGAACTGGTTAAGAGAGACAGTAAAACTAAAGAAATTGAATATCTTATTGCTTTGATTGTGCTTTGCATAATGTTAATTATAAGACTTTTCTAGCATTTTAATACTAAAAACGACTTTAAATGTTGAAATATTACACTCAGATAAACAAATATTAAATAGACAAAAAATCCAGTTTCAAGGTCGTTCAAGGTCATTCAGCAAAGACATCATCTCTATCTCTAATACCTTGTTATTTATCCCACATTTGATTTCTGTCTTTAAATCAAAAGCTTAAAACTTAATGAACCATTTAAAAAGCTTAACCAGTTACAAACAGTTACAGCAATGTGATTAAAAATGTTCACAAGAGTCAAGTCACCTTATCAACGGCATCGCGAAAAGTTTTCGCTCTCAGAAAACGACTTTCAAATGACATTTGGATGTCAATAACTGAGTAATCTTGAAAGACATTGAAACTCTGGATTCATGGCACAGTATCATTCAGAATTAAGTTAACAAAAATGACAAATCAACCTAAGTCTATCCTTTTTGTTATTCAACACTGACTGCTAATGTATTAAGATACAAATTTACGCCAATTTTCAGCTCGACTCTTGACCTGAAAGTCAAATATTTTGTCAACATTACGAGTGACTCCTAACCGAGTAGCAATGAAAAGCCAAACTGTCAACCCAAATAAGCTAAACTTTATTCAACCCAATGCATAATAAATAATGGCTTTACTTTGAATGATTTTCAAATGAAAAGTTTCTCTTGATAAATATTTGTTTAGCGATTAAAAATTAATAACAGCGCAATAACCAGCATAACTCACCATCAATAATTTTCTTTGGAATTTATCTCTACAAGCGATAAATTGAATAAATTGGTGAAAGTGCAATGAATTTTAATAATTACATTTCATCATCTATCAAAAGTTAATTGAAAAAAAGAAGTGAGATCAAAAAGGAACCCTCAATGTATTCATATTGATAAATCATTTTCGACTCGCGATCAACATTCTCAGGATAGTTTATCACTTGGCTTTCCTTTAAACTTGCAATGAAAACTTGTAATCTCTTTAAATGGTCCACAATTAACTTGGACAACAATAAGTATCGTTAGATTTAATTGTGAGTCACTTTTGTTGATTCACTTTGAATCATTACAAGTCCAATAAAGTGTGTAAACTATATTATCGGCAGTCCCTTGAGTTTAACCTTTTAGATGTAAAAAGATGTTTATCTCTTCGATCAACCCTGTTGACTTTAGCGAAACAATAAAATGCAATTTTGACCTGGAAAATTGTTTTCCAAGCTCCGCATGAAGTGACAAAAGGTGAAGGATAAACACGTGTTGAGCCAATAACAATAATAAAATGATAATCGAATGATCCAAATGATATTTACTTAGCAATAATGGCTGTTCAATTTACTCACCAAGTCCAATCATTTGATCCATCAATTGTGATAAAATCATTTGGACTTGCAGATGATTTATACACAAACAGCAAAGAAGAAGAAGAAAAGGCAAAAACATTGATGGAATCATTCAGGTTAATAATGGATATAAATGTGCTTTCATGGTGATGAGAAATGATTGAAGGTTGATTAGCTTGGTAATGTTCAGTTGATTGTTCAATTGAGGTTTCAATCAAGCTCATCATTCAACCAATAAGCTGAACATTGGCAACATTCAAATCTCAGAATAACTCGAAAACTTTTTTTTCTTCTTTTACCAAGTTTTTCCTTCTGTAAACGGTTAGATTAATTAGCTCAATATGGATGATTAATTGAAATGGATTGAATTAGCATTTGAAAAAATTGGTTCAATGAACAATTGGAATTGAACTTTTTTTCTCTCTCCACTTTCTGTCCTCCTGTTGATAACAATATTTTCACTTGAATTGAGGAAAAGAATGCTGATGATAAGATAATTTGGTTTGATGGAAATGTTGATACAATAGAATTAAGAGAGGAAAATGTGGGTTTGCAGGGAGGAAAATGAAGAAAAGTCTGAAGAGAAGAAGAAGAAGAAAAAAGTTGCAACTGAATGATGAGAAAAAAGCTAATGATTCCAAGTGAAGAATGAAAAAGATCATTTAATTTCCATTTGCAATTTTCTTTCTCTTCCAATGATGATAAGAAAGAAAGTGTTGATTGCACGCGACATTTACTCACCTTATTATTTCCTTCTTGTCCTCACTAACATCATTTACCTCATGATCATCATTATCTTCCTTGTCTTCCCATTCGATAGTGAAAAATCATTTTCTCTCTTTACCTTCTTCTCACTGGTCAACCTTTTCCTCAATCAGGCAAAATTGATGATTGCAAGTCAAATGATCAATAAGATAATTTTCACTCCCAGTAAATTTCATTATCGCTTTGGAAAACATTTGAGAGTAAAATCGCTGAGCACTTGAACATTTACTGTTCAACATTTTACTCTTTTGATGAAATTTAAATTTCTTGCTCTGTAAATGCCTTTTCACTCCCACTCCATGTATTAATAAATAAGCATAAATAACTCGTTTGTTCATGTAATTATCAAAATGTGATTAATGTCTTTGAGTCAAGATGAGATAAGAGTTATTCACTTTTCCAACTTTTCACTTGGATTCATGAGAATTGCAAATTAAACTTGCAACCTTTTCATCAGTCTCATCAGACTCATCATCATTAGCAGAATTTTTCACCAAATTCATTTCAATTTAATTTCTACTTTTGCCTTACTTTTCATCTTCATCTTTCTTCATAAATCACCTTTCATTTCCTTTCAACCTTTCAATATTCATAAAACTCTATCATTGAACAGAAATAATCTGTTAATATTTAGAGGAAAAAAGGATAAATTTTTCCCTGAAGAGATTCCATTATCAACAAGTCAACTTGAACTTTAACGATTTCAACTTTCATAATCATTCTCAACTCTCAATCATTAGTTGAACTCACCAACTAATAATGTTCATCAAAAATTCGAGTTTTAGTTTTCGATTTATTCTGATCACAGAACATAGAAAAATTTCAAGAATAAACAAAGTCGAAAATTTCATTTGTAAAGTCAACAACTTCGATTCAATTCAACTTTATTATCGAGTTTTTAAAGTTCATTTTCAATTAGAGAATCTTTTGATTAATTTTTTCAATTTTTTGCTTCTTTTCGTAGCTCCTTCTGGTTGGGTTCAGTTGTTGTTTAAGGACGAAAACTTGATCATTGTTGGCTCTGCTTTTGGCCTTATTTTATTCGTTGTTGTCTTTGGTTTGGCCATTGGTTTGGTCTTTTTTGGCCGTCGCAAGTTGAAGTCTCTTGAAAAGTCTTCAAGTGTTCAAACTCATCATCATTCACTTGGTCGACATCATTATGATCCGTCTCAGGCAAACTCGACGCTCCATCATTATGCAACTCAACAGAATGCGAATCATCAACCTTACCAATCAGCCTCACAACTTCACCAAGAGCAACAATTGCATCCTCAGGTTCATCATCATCTTTACAATTCGCTAACCCGTAATTATCATAACGCTAATGTGAATAATAATAAGAATCATTCATCATCACTTCATCATTATTCAAGTCAAAAGTATGCATCAATTAATCAAAGCAAAACATCATCACTCAATAAACTTCCCATTCTTGAAGAGCGAACCATGTAAGTATTCAATTCAATCAATCTTTTTCTTCTTCTCTTCGCCATAACCACTCATATTGTTTCATGATGTACTCGCATCATGATGAGTAGAATGATGATTACAACTGTTCTCAATTAGCGCTTTCAAAGAGTTTATAAAGCTGTATTGGTGAGAAAATGGACAGAAAATGAAAAATTTTGCTTCATTTTGGTTCTTCTTTTCATTCATCATATCGATAAAGATGATCAATGAAACTGACAATTTGTCTGAACATTATTATGATGAATGTGCTCTTGGAATTATTCAGTTAATCACATTCCCACCAAACTTTAATCTGCAAACTGAGCTTAGAGTTTCATTACGTATTATTGCAAATTTAGAGTTAAAATTCATTAGATGGTGATAAAGATAAACGCATTTTGATCAATCAATGAGTTTGCACGATGAAAGTGGATTAGTGTTATTCACATTTGACTATCATTTTGCAGTAATTAGATCTTGTTTTAGGTCAATATCATTGTACAAATTATTTCAAAGAGTTTATGCATTGAATAGTTACATTAAACGTTTTTGGTATTGAAGAAGAAAATCGAAAGTTAAATAACTAGAAGTTCAAATGTTGATCATTCGTATTTATGTTATTTGCTAAGACATATTATTCATCATTGTAAGTCGAGTACGCGAGTTTGAATTGTATTGTTTTAAATTTCATTAAAGCACAACTCGTTTAAATATAGCTTCTTGCAATGAGAAGATGAACTCGAATTTCAATTTGTGCAGAAACCTGATGCTTAAATACAGAATTAATGTTCTTGGCAATTACAAAGCTTCAAACTTTCGTCAAGATCATAACTTAGAATAGTTTAGATCAAAGGAATCTGCGGGAAATGATCGAGACTGAAGCTGTAAGTGAAGCTTTGCAACTTCGAATGCATTCTTTTTACTCTTTGTTGAGCTTATTTTATGCTCAAAGTTGCTTTTTGATCAACTTTGTTTGTAATATGAAGCTTAAAGCGCAAATAAATAGTGCAAGAGTATGAATCTGAAAGTCTGGAAGCAACTTTTTTCAATAAAATTTCGCTCAGTTAAACGTTAAATATGCAGTATGAAGATACTTTGAGTTACTTTAATCATTGGAAACATCATTAGAGACAGAGTCGAGATTAGAGTCATTTTTAATGACTAAACTAGTAATTATTTTAAAGTTTTGATGAAAGTCAATTTGGACAGAAGCAAGTGAATAAACTGTGACTTGCTTCATTTTCAGGGTTAATAAATCAATCTTTACACCTATCCTCAGAGGATCCATTTTCAGTGTTTTCAAACTGTTCAACTGTTCATCTAAAAGCATAGTTCATGTTGAGCTGCACAGAGTATTAATAAAACGTGAAAATACATCACAAGAATCATGTTGAGCAAAGAGAAGTTGAAACTCGAATATAAACATTGACAACTTTTACTGTAACAGACCTTTTCTAATTACAAACCTTTTGCAATCTTTTCCAGACCTGATGGACGCTGTTCAGACAACAATTGCGATGCAGACGATATCTCACCCTACGGACATCAAAGATCACCTTTAATCACCCGAAGCCATCAATGCATAACACTGGGTCCAGTGAGCAGTCCACTGCTTCTATCCGAGTATCTAACCGATGACAATGAAAGTGAAACCCAAATCACTGAATCGCCAAACTCGATGAACCACTATTACGAGTCAACCTCACCCTTACACCGTGCCAACTACAAGAACACAGTCAACTCTAAATCCCTGAACCTATTAGCCAACACCAACAACAACAGTCAAAACACTTTTATAAATGTAAATAACAGTCACAACGGCAACAACACTCACTATTCCCACACCTTGATCCACGAACACTCAACCAACCCTCACTATAACATACCTTTAACCTTATCTCGACATCCGCCTCCGTTGCCTCCATTGCCACCCGAACGGACTCATCGTCACCATGCAAACCCTGCGATTTACGACTATTCACGTTACCACACAAATCGAATAACATGAAGAAAAGTCAAAGGAAAACAAAGGCAAAAGCCAATGTCGAACCTAGAACATATTTAATCAAGCCGAATTGTCTCATCTTGTAATCAACATTCATCATCATCTCATGCCTGACCAAAACTCATCTCTACATCTTGACCTTTCATTTACTTGGTAAACTTTTTCAAAAGAATAAAAGATTTTCAGTTTTCTCTCGTCAAACAATCTTCGCGTTTTGCGTCTTGTTCAAGATGGCCTTTACCTTTCCATTATCATCATCTTCGTCAGACTTGTAATTATGTTGATAGAGCAAACCTTTTCACGATTCCTTTCTCCATGCAAAGTAAACCTGAATCGATTAAACACTTGAATTGTACAAAAGAAAGATGAACAATCAACTTTGATTGCATTTTGTATAAAGTTTGTAAAGTTCTTGATTAAATCAATTTGCATTCAATTCTTGAAACAACTTTTTTCCATTCTTTCATTGTACGAATAATGTTCAACATTTGGAATAAAAAACTTTTACAATTTGAAACTTTACCTGCGAAAATTGAATCTCGAATCTCATTTTCACCATTAAGATTCTTTTTCTTAACCTTTCCAATAATGATTGGTGTTTATTTAACCAACAATCAATCAACTGTTAATGAATTTGGTTCATCATTTGCATGAATATCATTAACGATTAAACTTAATCATTCCAACGATCAAATGGACATTCATTTTTCAATCGAGTTCGCCTAATCATTCTCATAATCCTTTTCAACTCGATCAACAGTTTTATTACCAAGTCTAATGACTATTCAGAAACTGGTGAGAAATGAAAGATAATTCAAAATTGAAATTTGCAGCTTCAATTATTCAATCCATTGAGCAGGGAATGATTAATGATTTCGTTAATAGTGAGGTTTATTATCACTAATCAGGTGAGTTGAATCGAGTACAAAGCTTTTCATTTTTCTCTTTTCTCAACATTTCGCAGTTGATTCTGGAGTTGATTAATTTCCAACAATTGTTGACTTGAAAACTAAATTTTTGCCTAAACTAAAGATTCCAGAAAAGCAATGGAAAGGCCAACATTGAAAGATGAAACTTGGACCAAAAAAAGTAATCGTTTCCATCGTATTAAACTAATGCATTTTAAATGTTAATTCACTCCAATTGTTTAATTATCACTTCTGCAAATTATTTTCCAAGCTTGAATTTGGATTAACTTTATCACTCTTGAGGTTTCCTCACGAAGAAACATGGACAAGTTAGCAAGTTGGTAAAATTTTCCATTAAATTTTCGAACTCAATGAGAATAGAAATTATTTGATTTAAAGTAAAGCTCAAAGTTGATCAATGAAAACCTCGATGAAGTGAGAAAAAAATAGTCGACAAAACCAGAAATGATAATCGAATGACACCCAAAAGAATAATCAAAATCTTCTTTTCTCAACTTTTCACAAGAAATTTCACTCCAAGCTTGGACTTTTCACTCCACATTTGCACCTCAATAAGCTTGAACTATCATCGCTATTGGATTAGCAATTCTGCTCATCTCTTTCACTCTTAGCTCAAGATTTGCATCTTCCTTCATCTTCATTATTTCATTGTCTTCATGTGTCTTTGACTCGGTTTTTTCTTTCTGTCATCTTCATCATCTTCTTCATTTTCATCATTATTGTGTTTCTTCTGCTGTTTCACTCCCAGTCTCATCATCATCACTTACAATTCTCATCTTCTTTTCTTGGTTTGATTCTTTTTCTTCTTCTTTTCCTCTTTTTTTCCTCTCTTCCTCCCTTCTGAATCACAAAAAGCAATCCTCAAGTGAACTCAATGAATCTCATGATTTGATTCAGATAAAAACTGTTTTCTATCGTTGGCAACATTTATACATAATCCAAGAACTTTTTTTTCCTCTCTTCCTTTTCCTTTTCTTCTCCTTCCTTTGCCTCTTCAACTCTCACCCTGCCTGTCTCCATGTGATTAATATTCGGTTCCATTCTATTTATTCGAGATAAATGACCTCAAACTGAATTCCAAGGGTAACCAATCTATTGGTTATAATAAATAACCTTTTCCAATGAAATTTTGCTCTTTTTCCATCATCATCATAACATTAATTAACCATAATGTGAAGGAGCAAAAAGCAGAAAAGCAAACCTTATCAAAATATGTTTCATTGTATGAGTTTGAACAAGAAAAATGTTTACTTCTCATCCTGTCCCAATCAATGGCCAACCCTGACTAGACAGTAAACTGACCTTTAACTGAAACTCTGTTTACTCTTTACATCCATTTCTCATGTCAATCTTTTTCATTAAAATGTATTCTAATTGTTGTTGCAACTATTTTTTGCTCATTTCAACTGTTTAATTAAATGTTGAGGAAACAAAAAATAAACTGTAAAAAAATTCAACTCTAAATTGGTTCAACTTTATTTAAAAATGAAAATGTTGAAAAGGTTGAATTGAGTGAGGAAAAAATGCTTAATGATTAAGATAATTGAGTTAAATTGTAAGAATAATTTTCTTCTCCTTTCATCGTTTCATTCATTTTCTTGAATCTTATTCCTTCTCATCATTAGATATTCATTGTTATTTAAACTTCCCGAGACAATTAACTAATTAATTTCATTGGAATCGTGTTTAATTTATTACAACTAATTGCTATTTTAATGCATGTTAACTGTTGAACCAGAATGAGATTTCGAAATTTCCTTCAAAATTAAATTAACTTTTAATAGTGATTTATATTGTCCATTGGATAAAGTCGAATGCTTTTAATCAAGTTGATCCGTTTGATGTTGCAAATTGATTGTTTGATGACAATTTTGAATGTAAAATTGTTGGCTTTTTTCAGGTCAAATGATGATTTAAACTGAGTAAAAGGTTTCTGGTTAAGATTCAGTAAAGTCTCGTGAGATTCAATTGTTCAAGTTTTTGTTTTTCTTGGTTCCATTTTGCGCTTCTTTCCTTCATTTGAAATCAAATGGGAAAAGTTTTTCATCAGCAAATATCACAAGAGCGATGAAGAAAAAACTCATCTTCTTTCCAATCATCATCATTATTGAACATTTTCTGGTTTCAACTTGTTCTTTGCAGGATAAAGGATGAAATTGACATTGCCTCGGGTCAGAAAGGTAAAGTTATTGAAGAGAAATGATTTTGATTGTTTCGCATTCAACTTTTTTTTGCTCTTCCTCATGATGAGCATGATGAACATGATGATTTGAGGTAAGATAGCAGACGATTCATTGACCCATGATGTTTATCCTGAAATTAGAATGAAAGAAATGAAGATTGTCGAATGAAAACTCTTTTTCTTTTTCTGTTTTTTACCATTCCAATTACATTGAACAGGTAAATGGTTAAACAAATTTTCAATCATCAGCTAATCAAATGTTTTCCTTTGCTTTACCGATTTTCATTAATAAACAATTATTTTTCCATTTGATTCAACAATTGATGAAAATTAACTTTTGAACTTGATTGAAACTTCACTTTAACTGGAAAAATTATTTTCATTATTTCTACTGAAGTCAACATTTCAGTTTTTAGGCAACTTTTTGTTTTGCCTTTTTTTCTGTCTTTCATTATCATTCCATCGTTTGAGAAGTTGCTTACAATGTTAATGGAAAGGTAAATGTTTAACCAAAAAACTATTAAATTGTTGTATGATTGTACCTGAATTCAATTATTTGATCTGTAATTTAATTATTTGCTTTTGTCTTTTTAAGTTATTTGGCTTTGTTTGAAAGTTAACTTCATGTCTCTTTTTTTTCGCCCTTTCACCACTTTTGGTAAAGATGAGGAAAACCACAGAAAATTATGACAATTGATGAATCCTGGAATGAGAAATGAAAATCACAACTTTCGATTCCGGCCTCATTTCCGTATTTCAGATGTTAATTAACATTCGGTTTCATCTTTATCAAGTGTTCTTCCATTAATAGGTAACTTTCAGGTTAAATTGCTTTTTATGTCACTCAACCATTCGAGATCTCTTCTTGCTAGATTTGGTAAACTTTGCTCATTGGCTTACTCCATGATTTTTTCTGATTTTTGAAACATCCATAAATCCAAACTACTTTTTTAAGGCCATTTTCCAATAGGAATTCGAAGTCCTTTCTGAACTCGGAAATTCAATTTTCTCAATTAGAATGAGTTGGATAAGAAGATGTCAGATGACTTTTTGCTTTTCATTTCCAGAGATTGTTATTTAAGCAGCTTTTTCTAGAGATTCCTTGGTTCCATTCAGACTCTTTGAACTCTCATATTATAAAGACTTCTTTTAACAGGTAACTTGATCATCATTGATTATGATTGTCCATGTAAAACAAAATCATATCTTACGTCTTTTTGTTGGTTTGATTTGGCTTTTTTTCTTGTTGCATGCAAATGAATAGTTGCTCTAAGATTATAACCAACTGTATTAATCAAATGACATTTCCTTCTTGTCCTCCAATCTCAATTTCAATGATCATCTATGGATATTAACATGTTAATTTGATTCCAAATTGTTAATCCAGGTTGATTGTTAACCGGATCTTGTTGTGATAGTTGTTAAGACAGTGTGATCATTGATTCCCATGTCAATAATCATCAGTAAATTTAGTCATCTGTCGATTCTTGTTTTTATATTCAAATGAGATTGCATTTGGTTTCTATCATGATTCAGATTAACATGCTTTTGGATCAAATTTACGTTCGCTTCCTTTCTATTGGTGCAATAAGCTTTCCTAATTGAATTAATTATGACTATCCTTTTCTTGGTTAATTAATTTGATTATTGATCAGCTACGGTTATTTCATTTGGCCAGTGACTTGAACAGGAAGACTTTTTCTCGTTTGGATAATTTTTAGTCAAGATTATAGAATCCGTTAAGGTAGACGATCTGAAGGGATGATAAAATCTGAACATTGATTGAATCAAAAGTACGTTGAATTAGTAGATGGTTGGTTTTAACCTTCAATCAATATTTTATTGCTGATTGCTGTTTAATCAATTATTCCTTGTCTCTTTTGCATAAAGATCCACCAAAATTTCCATATCCATCAATTCATTGAAATATTATAATCACGCTGAACGTACGTTGCCTTTATAAACTAGTCCATTGGTAATCTGACAAGAAAGATGTTACAATTCATAAAATTTCAGTTGACAAACTTGATATACTGAAAGTGAAGTGAATTTTATTGCTTTAGGACAACTTTAAATCACTTCCATGATGCTTTTAACATGGAAATGAGGAACGGTAGTTGTTCGAAATCGTATGGAATCACAAAAAAAGCGACCGGTCCGAAAGTTAAATCAAATCGAAAAATCCAAGTACAATTTAAGGTCGAAATATGAGTTCCAGTGTTGAGTAGCTTGTAGCTTGTTCCAAGTTGAATCATTCGTGAAATCTGTAATGCCCTGCATTCATGCAAGTGCAAATTACTCAGATTATTGAATAAATATCATAACCAACTGAAATTTGAAATCTATTTTCAGGCCACTCGACAGCACTTTTTGATTGAGACTAAGAGCAAAGAATTCACATTTAAACACCAATCATAAATTTTTGGAAACTCTGATCTTGTAAGTTCTTGAATAAAGAGTTACCTGAGTCCATACTCGAATACAGGATACACAACTGAAGATCGATTTCTTTTTCTGTGCAATGGAGGCTAAAAAGAGGAAAAATTCATTAGCAAGAGAATATATTGCAATAAAACAAATTACTCACCATTAGTTATTTTCAGATTATCAACCAATGTAGTGCTCTTTCTTCGTGAGAAGAATCAAAAGGCCAAGTGTTTGGATAGCAAAAGTTCTTTAATGGATTGCATGGTAAGGTACATGCAACAGAATAGATGAAAAATAAATAAAATTTAATCGAAGGTAACATCCAAAAATTCACAAGATTAGATGAATACTCTTTGGATGTCAAACGGTGAATTATTGTTAACTAATAACGAAACTCTTAAAGACACAAATCCAAAAAAAATTAATCCATCTCAATAGATCAAATTCCGAGGATTTAACTCAATGTTGGTGGGGTAATTAGCTAATTGTAAAACAAATTTGGATTTCTGTTAAAAAAGTTCAACTTAAAATACAAATATAAAGAGTTAAGAGCCTCCTGTCGAGAAATAATTCAACAAATTTTTGGAGTCTGCGAAATTCAAAATGCATTAAAAAAGTTAAACATTTCAAAAGAAAAATTCTTTTAGCATGTAAATTTACTGAGAAAAATAAAATAAGCATTTGGCCTGATTTTTCGCTGAAAGGGTTTCAAATGACCAAGATAATGAGCGATCAAAGATTATCTTAGACATCAATAGCATCGATTTAACATCAAGAGTTAATCGATAGTAGTTAATCAGTTTAAATCTGATATCAAAAGATTGTTTCATAAAGCTGAGATTACTGCAAAATTATTGAAAAAGGTAACAATGAATCATAAGGATTATCGTTAAGATCAATTTCGGCGTGAGCTACTGTTTATCAGAAGGTTGAATGAACAATATTCATTCAAGATACCCTTAAACATATAAATACATAAAAGGTTTGTTTGCTACACCTGGTTACTGCTCATGTGTTTTTAAACCAAGCTGTGAATTGTCAATTTGAATTTTCTCATTTTTTAATTCAGAAAATATTTCAAATTTTGATATTCAGTTTTTAATTTTTTTACTACTCAAGATTCTAAGTTGATAGTTATATTCATATTTCTACCCAATAATGACTTCAACATCGAGAGGAACCCAAGAAACGGATAAATTAAGAGCCAACCTAGAAGAGCAATTGGAAAGGCTTATTACTCAATTGTCTGATTTGGAAGAATGCCGGTTAGTAATGAAATTTTTGATTAATTTTTAAATTCTTACTATCAATGCAAGTGTTTAAATCCAAATTTAACTTATTTTGTTATTTAGAGATGAACTGGACGATGAGGAATATGAGGAAACAAGATCTCAGACATTGGAACAGTTGAAAGAGTTTAGTGAATATCTTAATGATATTGTTTCTGGTAACATTACTTTGGTTGATCAATTAGGAGCTTACCAATTGGTGAGTAAATGTTCTCGACTGCGAAATGTAAATGTGTTGTATGATGTATTCCATGTATTACTTTTATTCACAGGCTATTCAAGCTGCCATTAGTAATGCTTTCAAGACGCCAGAAGTTATAAGAATGTTTGCTCGTAAACAACCAGATCAATTAAGAGTGAAGTTGTCTGAAGTGAGTAAACCTCAATTTATTGTCATTATTGTAACCTGGTGAATCTTGTTTAGATATTAATCCAAGTATTTTTTGTATTTTCACAGCTTGAGAGACAGTTTGAAACTGGTAAACTCAGTCGTGATAACTTTGACGAAAGAAGGTGTGAAATACTGTTAGCATTGAAAAAATTGGGTGAAAATCTTACACCTGATCAAATCTCTGTTATTGAAAGACATTCGTCAATTGCAATGAAAGACTTCCATAAAGTTGATAATAGTAAGTATAAAAAAGATGTATTATTGCTGCCAAAATTTCAAGTGATGTTTCAATAATTTTGAATTTTCATGAAAAATGGCTTGACAGCTCGATTCTCAATGTAAACCGCTTCAAAATAATTGAGTAAATTTTTAAATCTTTCACAGATATCAGTGATCAACTTCTCAAGGAAACCGGATCTAATCTGAAGAAATCTCTTGGCTAATCAATTACTTCAACCTTTCATCAACAATAGAATCAACGACAATTGTTCTCAAACGGTTCTGAATCTACTCTTGGAATCTGCTGTACATTTTTATCACTTTATCAACCATTTTATCATTTATCCTTCGCTTCAACTTTATTGCAGATGTTTTTTTTATGAATCAAAATTACTCATCTATTGAAACTGGTTTATCAATTGCAAATTTCACCAGGTAATTTGGAAAAAAACTCATAAAACCTAACTGTAAAATTTTACCTGTAAAGCGCATAAAATATTGTGCCAAAGAAAAGGATTGTTATTATCACAACAATTCAAAATCGTTATTTCACAGCCAGTATAATAAACAGATTGATTTAAGCAATCAATTTATTACCATTTCTGTAATTCCAGCAGCGTAAACATTGCACACTATTACCACAGTGTCATGCAAAATTTCAGACATGGGACTAAGAACTTTTAGGTGATTTTAGCAAGTATGAAGCAATTCCAGTCTAAAGATACCCACAATGTAATTTCACAAATTTCGGACAAGTTGAAGCAAGTTCAGCAAAGAAACAAGCTAAAAGGAATAAATCGACAAAATTCCACATCCAATCTTAATTGACAGAGATTTCATGCTAAAACTTGACACAAGAATAAACTAAATCCAGACAAAATATTCCATTCAAGATTAATTGACAATTTGTGAGTCTCGAGCACCGATTTAAATTATTAATCTTTCCCTCAATGTCAGAAGATACCCAAAAGCTGTGCTGCCATCTCTTTTATTTAAAACATTACAGTTTTTTAAATTTCAACATTAATCGCAACTGTACTTGTGATAATTTTTCGCACAAGTCAATTTCAACCAACAAACTGTACTCTTGTTAATATTATATGATTTAAAATTGTTTTGGTGTTCAATTAGTTTGCCCTTAAATTATACTTTGTTTATATGGAACCAGTTTCGAGTCAACAGTAAATTGTACTAAAAAGTTTACCTCAAGATAAACTGTTTCACTTTGATCCTGTTACCTAAAGATGGCTCTCAAAAAGAACTTTTAGGAGAGGGAACTTTTCGGTTAAAAGGAGAGTAAAGAGAGAGGTGGAAGGAGAGAGAAAGTGAGATCAGTGACTTTGTGAGTTAGAGAGTTACCTAGGAACTGGAAAAGTGTTTAAATCTCTCATCATAAGAATCATTTCTGATCAAAAGAGCGTGTGTTTGTTTGTGTATTTCAAAAGATGAGTGTATCTCGTTTTCAAGTAGCCAAAGTGACTGGTGACAATGGATCCAAAGATGGTGAAGTGTCAACTGAGGAAATCGCCCTTAATGGTTATGGTGAAACCAATGGTCATGGTGAGGACGATGATTACAACCATGAGAATTATGAAAATGATGAAAACTGTGACCGGGCCACTTCATCTCCTGTACCCTTTAACCATCAAAGTACAATGGATTACAACAATAGCCATACTGTTTATGATACCAAAAATTTGAAAAGCTTCAGACATTATACCAGAGAAGCTCTTCCTCGAGTTGACCATTACAGGGACATTAATTCGGTTCATGGACATATGAGCCGGCCAACTTTAGATGAACTCCATGGTTGTGATATGTCATCAACATTTCATGATTCACAAAAGGTATCTATTAGTTTACGTTTTAATTATCTAGTTTGCCCTTAAGAAGAGTAAGAAAAAAATACCAATGGCCCCCTTTCAACCCTTCCCTTTATTTTAAAACCCTCATCTTTTCTCTGAGAAACATTTTTGTTAACCTTTTCTTGATTACATTTTCTCTTGTAAATTATGCAAATATTTACTTTCTGGCTTAATTTACATTTTACTATCATTATTGTTACTTATTATTAGTACTTATTGCTTTTTGATTTTTAGATTTTCTTGAAAAACATGTGAAAATCAATTAGTGAGAGAGAAATGAGAGAAAGTCAGTGAGAAAAAACTCGTTCTGTTCGCATTTATTGATAAATGTTATTACTATTTATCATTAGCTTCATCATCAGCGGCAACCTTATCATAATCATCATCATAATTTACATGATTTGTGTTTTTTTAATTGAAAATTAAAAAAGAAGTAAAAAAAAGAGGTTGAGTTGATGGTTCTAATGATGAATGCCAATGGCCTTTATTTTAAGTTATTAAGCTGGTTTTCCAGGTCTCAGGACATTGCCTTGATTGATCAACTTGGCAATCAACTTCATTTCAACATTTTCTAATGTTCATAACAATCTTGTTAATAATTAAATGTTAGGTTTGTTTTAATTCAATCACGGGAACTTATAATAATTTTCCCTTTCACTTTTTTCAACCTTGATTTTCCTGTACATTCCTCACTTTTCACTTCCATAATGTTTCTCTATACCAATTTACAAGCATATTTATCCATTCAATATTTTTTATTGAAAAAAATCAGTTTACTGTTGATTATTAAATTAGGCTTGTCCTGTGTTTTTATTAACCGCCTCTGGTTATTGCTTATTGTTATTGTTTTTGCACCGGCAATGGTGAAACCTTGCAATTTTACAATTTCGCATAAAATTTTCTCCTTAAAACTTTCTATTCAAATGATCCCTTATATTGGTTTATATATTTTTTTATATACTGGTTATAGATCGCTGCTTAGCTAATAGCTTAACAGAAACTCTAACCATGCTTGAGAGTTTTCAATACAATATAAAGAAAAATATGAAAATGAAAAAAAAAATGGTTAAGGGGAAAAGCTTGCCAAAGGAAAGCAAAGCAGAAGATGCAATTGATGAAAAATCTTAAGCGCTAAATGAGCATTGTGAAGGCCATTGAAGACATTACTGAGTAATCAAGTCAAGTAATTTTCTAATTTTTGTTTCTCTTTCTCTTCGCCATGTTTTAGCGTAAAGACCGGAAATCATTGCTTTCACCGGATCCCGGAGAGTCTGCTGTCAAATTTGGATGGGTGAAAGGAGTTTTGGTTAGTTTGGTCTATTTGCTTCCTTAATGTTGGTCACAACCTAACCCAGCAAAATATTCATATCATTATGTAGCTTTGCTGTTATATTAGGTTAAATGTTGATATCTCAAATAGACCATTGAAACAAACCTATTGACACTTATTGACATGCAACGTTGCTTCTTATCACCTTTTTTTTGTTACCCTAACTGTAACCCTTTAACAGGTACGATGTCTCGTAAATATTTGGGGAGTCATGTTGTTTCTTCGTCTCTCATGGGTAAGTCTGTCTGAACTTTTTGTTCGTAGATATGTAATGATTAGTTTTTCTCTGTTTTATTTGCTTCTTTTCAATTACAAATATTGTTGACTCTTCTCTCACGAAATACATTGTGACTTAAATTTTCATGTTTCACTTTCACTTTCACTGTCTCTCTTTCTCCTCCCTACTTCCACTTTACCCTTTCCGACTAAACAATTGTATAATAATTTTATTTTGTCTACCCTTTCTCTCTACTATTGATTTAGGTTGTTGCTCAAGCAGGAATTGGTTATGCTGTCCTCATAGTTCTTTTTGCCTCACTGGTTACAGTTATCACAACCCTTTCCATGTCCGCCATTTGTACCAATGGGGAGGTACGAGGTGGTGGATCGTACTATATGATCTCAAGAAGTTTAGGACCTGAATTTGGAGGTTCCATCGGAGTCATCTTTTCAATTGCCAATGCTGTGGCTGTCGCTATGTATGCCATTGGTTTTTCAGAAACTGTTAGCGCTTTACTTAAGGTATTACAACCATCAACTGTTTACATCTTTTTTTTTAATTACACTCTTCAAGTGAAAGCGTAGTTAAATCTTTGCTCTAGTTTTAATTATTCAATCAAATTATCAAATTCAGTGTTAAATATGTCAGTTGTGAAAAAAATTTAAAAAATGCTTCGTAAGCTCCAAGGCTTAGGTTGTTTATTATATTATCGTTATGATATGCAGTGGTGACAAATGAAGGATATAAAGAAATCCATTCAAAAGCTGTTGAATTATGAATGTCACTAACATGTAAAAGGCAGTTTAGTAATGATCAGATACAAAGAGAAGCTCTAATTTCCTAATGCTTATCAATTCCCAGAACTGAATAGTAATTTGCCAACTGACTGGTAACTCGTCAAGACCTTGAATAATTTAAATTGGTTTCTTCAATGAATTAAGGAAAAAAAGAGAGCAATTGTAATTTTGCATGTCCAATTAACTTGTAAAATCCATCGCAATCAAACCTTTTCCCTTCGCCTTTTGATTGTTACAAGTTTTACCCGATCACATAAATGGCATAATTAATAACTTGATTTTTTTGTTCATCCACTTTAAATGATCACTGTTGACATCTAACAATTGAGCTTTTAACAAATTATTTCTTCCATGATTCCATGTTCATAATCATTTTAAAATGAAATAATTTCCTTGTTTTCGCAATAATTCATTATTTTCAATGTTAATTATTGAGTTTACTTGTTTCATTTGTTTTACTCAATTGTTGATAAACTAAGCGTAATGTTTAACCGCCAAACCAATTAAACTCTTACAATCAATATCTTTCTTTCAGTCATACTTCAGTTTACCATTTTATTGACTCAATTTATAACAATCATAACATGCAATTTCAACATAATTTTCACTTTCCATTTTTAACTCAACTGAATTTTGAGATATCATAACTCATCTATTTCGTTTCTATTTAATCTGATTCTAATTCTTTTCCAATTTCTTTTATTCTCAGGAAAATGAAATCACATTATTCGCCGACGAAATCAACAATGTTCGATTTATTGGATGTATTACTGTGCTTTTGCTTTTAGGAATCGCTCTTATAGGGACAGAGTGGGAAGCAAAGGTAAACTGCTGTTTTCATTGCAATTACCTGTCATTTAATTGCTGCAAATTTCGACCAGTTCAAGCAAAAATTGAAAAATTTTATTTCTTTATTATTTAGCTTTAGTGTGAAATGATTACAAATGAACAAGCTCACTATTTGAAGCGAAATTTGTTGAAATCTTACTTTTTTGCGTCTAGTTAGGGTCCAAATTTAATCACATTATCTGACAGGTTATTGTAGTTTAGTTGTATTACCATCTAACTCACGTATGCATGTATAATAGACTCAAATTTTCCTGCTATTCATTCTGCTCTTGGCAATGGCCAATTTTGTTCTTGGAACCTTTATCCCACCAAATGAACAAAAAAAAGAGAGAGGATTTAACGGCTATTCGTGTAAGTAATAATTTTTGATCATGATTTTTCTCCTCAAAAGTTCACCATTTAATGAAGGATAAACCTTCCAATGGATATTATTTTTTGACATCAAAATTGCAATCTTTAAATAAGCCTAAAATTCAAATTATTAAATGAATGCTTAGCAATTGAATAGATTTTCATTTTCTTCATCTCTTAAGGTTAGTTGAATTTCAACTTTAAAATTGGTTAAATCATTCATAAATCTCGTAGAGATGTTAAACCTCCCATTTACCATTTATTTATTCAATATTAATATTTATTCATGTAATATCATTACAATTATGAATTACATCCTTTACTTGAAGAATGGTGAACCAATCCAGTGGGAAAGGTTAAGTTTGAATAAAAGTTTCATGAAATTTCATGTAATTCTTAAGTCAATTGTCTAAGCCAACGCAACTTGTTTATTGCAGCATACATGGTTTTGCGTCAATTTAATTATCTCTAAGACTAACTTATGTCAGTGGGCAGTGATTCAAACAAAGCACAGAATAAGAAATGTGTGTTTAGATTATTGTCTTTGCACTTTATTAACGGAAAAATGATATTTAACTTTGACTGTCGGCAAATCAACGGCAATGAGTGACAAGTTTGTTGTTACTGATCAAAATTGACGCTTGTCACTTGCGGGCGTCTAAAGTGAACGTTCAGATTAAAATTGTTTCTAAATTGGTTAAATTAAGTCTCACATTTCAATTTCAGTTGCAATTGTCATTTAAGACGTTAATTACTTAAATCATTGACAATGATCTTGTCAATTCAAATGAATCAAACTATGAGTAACTCTTGTCTTTTTGTTTGCTCATTAAACAGTGGATCAGTTTGTTGAAAATTTTGGACCTGATTTCCGAGGAGAAAGTTTCTTCTCAATATTTGCCATCTTTTTCCCAGCAGCCACTGGAATACTTGCTGGTGCTAACATTTCAGGAGATCTTAAGGTAACAAAAGAGCACTTGTATATCAATTTTGTTAAAACATTGAAATTAATCAATTGGTTATAATTTAAATTCTTTCAACTTGTCTACTTAAAAGGATCCTCAACAAGCCATACCTGTTGGTACTATGCTTGGGATTGTCATCACGTCACTTTCATACATGAGTTTTGCAATCCTCTTTGGAGTCACTTCTGAACGAGAAGTTTTGTCAGCCAATGGAACTTTGATTTTATTTGATGGACAAAAACAAGGACTTCATCATAATTACAATATGATGTCTTTAATCTCTCTCTACGCTCCCCTGATTACTGCCGGAACCTGGGCTGCTGCACTTTCCTCTGCCCTTGCCAGTTTAATTAGCGCACCCAAAGTTTTCCAAGCTCTCTGTAAAGACAAACTGTTCCCTTACATTCAGTATTTTGGTAAAGGCGAAGGTAAAAACAATGAACCTCGCCGTGGTTATATCTTGGCCTTTCTCATTGCCCTTGCTGGCTGTGCACTCGGTGATCTAAACGTAATCGCACCAATAATCTCCAACTTTTTCCTGGCTGCTTATTGTCTCATCAATTTTTCCTGTTTCCACGCTTCTTTTGCCAAATCACTTGGTTTTCGTCCATCATTTCGTTACTACAACATGTATGTTTCATTGATTGGAGCCATTCTCTGTCTGGTCGTCATGTTCATCATCAATTGGGCTGCTTCTTTAATCACATTCATTATATGTTTCGCCTTATATTTCATCGTTCTTTATCGTAAACCAGGTAAATAATGATCTATTGAAAATAAGTTGAAAAATTTCAATTGAAGGTTACATTCAAAATATGTTAAAATTTCAAAGCACTTGAAATCCAAACAAACTTGGTAAACGTTGAGAGCTTGGTGAATTAATTTTGAAGAGTTGTTTAGTCAATTGAAATTTGCAAAAAGGTGTATTGACAATAGATTTTCAAAGTTTCGCTACTGTTTAGTCTTTCCATTTTTTCTTGAAAAACCTTTATGAATGTTTTCTCAATCATTGAAAGTTTATTAATAGGCTGTGAAAATTCAAGATTTCTTTTTTATTGTATAATGTTCAACCATTTTTTGCAAAAGTCATTTTCTCACTCAATTGAGTATCAATGTTTAACCTTTTTTATTTTAATTTTATCCTCTGTAAATGTTAGATGTCAATTGGGGTTCATCAACTCAAGCAGCAACTTACAGATCAGCTCTTCAAACAGCTTATAAACTTAATCTCGTACCAGACCATATCAAAACTTACAGGTAAATCAATAAACCCAATCATTTAAAGGATTAACTTATCTTGAGATTGCTTCATTTTAGACCCCAGATTCTGGTGCTTACTGGAAATGCATTTGCTCGACCGCCTCTAGTTGATTTGAGCTATCAACTTGCAAAAAACATTGGTCTTATGATTTGTGGTCATGTTGTTCAGGTATTTTTGCTCCCTCCTTTATTCAATTAAAGCATCTCATCTATTTATAGCAATCAATCTTAATCAATAATTTTTTTTCCAGGCTCGACTTAATCAAAAAGCACGAGAAAATATCACTCATCAAAATAATGATTGGCTTATTAAACGTAAAGTGAAATCATTTTACACACTTAGTGATGATCAATCCTTTGTATCTGGAGCTAAATCGATGATTCAGGTAAATCTTTTTTATTGATACTCATTACAAGATTAAACAAGTTGTTACTCTGTGAAACTGTAAATTGATATTACGTATTGATAATCTTACCCGGGATCTTTTTTTTCAACACTTCTAGTGTACGGGAATAGGAAAATTGAGACCCAACATCTTAATGCTCGGCTATAAAAGTGACTGGCAAGACTGTAATAAACAAGAGCTTTTAGAGTATTTCGCTGTTATCCAGTAAGTTTGAAATGATTGAGCTGCACTTTAAACAGAAATTTAATCTTGATTTACTCTCTTTCTTTTCTTCTTTCTTTTAGTGAGGCTTTTGATAAACATATGGCTTTATGCATTTTGCGGCTAAAAAAGGGATTAGATCATTCTAGATATGGACGATTATCGCACGGTGATGATGTCGATGAGAAAACTCCGAAACAAAGTAAAGCAGACAAAAAAGCTGAAGCCAAAGATATTGAGAAAGGTGAAAGTTTACTTGCCGCTTACGATTCAGTTACATCTCAAAGTGAGTTCATTTCTTATCTTTAATTTATTTGTCTTCAACCTACGCAACTAAATTTTACTCTTAAATGAAATTTACTTTTCCTTTTTTTCTGTTTATCTGTTTGTTTGTCTGTCTCTCTCCATGACACACAGCTATTAGTGGGGATAGTTCAGATGATGAGTCTCCTCTGGCAACAACTGTTATCTATGATGACCAAAAGAGTGAACATAAATCAGCTCTTGTCTCTGGAAAAGATGAAGAGAAGTCGATTATGCCTAAAAATATCTTATCAACAATCAATCAATTTCAAAGAAAACAAAAAAAGTCAACCATTGATGTCTGGTGGTTGTATGATGATGGAGGATTAACCATGTTAGTGCCTTACATTTTGAGCACACGGAAACAATGGTTAGTATTTTTGTTCACAAGATTCTTGGCTGTAAAAAAAAGACTCATGTAAAAACAAGTCATTCATTGATTCTTTTAATTTATTGAAAAGTCAAATCATCAAGAAACATTAATGTGGATCAATAGTTTTTATTATCTAGAGAAAGTCTTTTTTTTTGCTTCCTATTCTGTCTATTCTGATTTTTCATTTTCTAACATTTTCTTGTAATTTGTTTTTTCTTTCATGATTATCATTTTTCTAGGTCTGGTTGTAAATTACGTATTTTTGCTCTGGCAAATAAAAAAGACGATTTAAACCAAGAACAGCGCAACATGGCTGCTCTTCTTAACAAATTCCGAATTGAATATTCTGATGTTACCGTGATATCGGATATCGTTCGTCCTCCAACCGAAGAGAATAGGCAAAAATTTAACGAAATGATTTCCAAATGGCGAACAAAAGATTTAGACGAAGAACCAGTTAAAATGAATGATTCAGGAAATGATGGTAGCGGAGATTTTGATGGGCTCAATGTTCTTATATCAGAATCTGAATATTTAGCTTTAAAAAATAAATCATATCGTCATATACGATTAAGAGAGCTTCTATTGCAACATTCAATGGATGCATCTCTCATTGTTATGTAAGTAATAATGTAAACAAGACATCAACAAATATCAAGCCATAGAATGAAAAATAACCAAAAGAATCAAATTACTACATTTAATAATTGGAAATAATTTATTTCCAGTATTCTCTGTAACATGATAGGTTTAGACTTTCTTTGAAACCAATTAATTGTCTCGTTTTACCACCTCATTTGTCAGCTTAATTTCACTATTAATTGTTTTTAAATATATTTTTCTCCCTCATTCCATCTATTTTAGGACATTACCAATGCCTCGAAAAGGAACTTGCTCAGCAGCGCTTTATATGGCTTGGCTGGAAACACTAACAGCGGATATGCCTCCCTTCCTCTTCGTACGAGGCAACCAGACAAGTGTCCTTACATTTTACTCTTAAAGTAGAAGACTTAATTTGATATTACAAAAGTTGCACAAAAAGAAACAAAGTAAAAGGCTTTATTTAGCTTCACACGGACGTCCTCACAAGTTCAATGGCTGTTTCCATTTTTCGTCTTTCTCTCTATATTTTTCCTTTCTTTTCATCTTCATTACTCTTGAATTTCTATTTTTCTCTCATCTTCTTGCTCCTACACAACCACAAAAAACCACAAAAATCTCTTTTGAATTTGATTTTTGTTTTCATTATTCCGTCTCTTTCCATCAACCCAACTACGCTCTCTGTCTTTACTTTTTCAATTACTTCCAATACTTTTTCTAATATCACCCTCCCTGGGAACTGAACAATTTTTTATCATTATCTACTCTTTCCTTTCTCTTTCCTCTTTCACTTCATTTCTTCTTTTCTTACCTTCTTTCGTCCCTATGTGAATCATCTTGAGAAATCTTTAGGTACATTAGAAGGATAAACTTTTATGAAGCCATTTTATAAACATTTGAGACTTATCACGAAACAAGAGGATCACTAACCAGAATCCAGTAACAGTATGTGGGATAAAGCTGACCGAACCTGGTGTAATTTTTGCATAAATCATTACGAAAAATTCATTTCCATTGAACATCAAGCCTTAAATTTTCCATTAATTTTGGTGCTTCGTCAAGGAAAGCCTTTTTAATTTTTTATGCTTCATTGGGTATCAAAGATATCAGGATTATTTATTAACATGACGCAAATTGTTAAACACCATTTTCATATTAACTGACAACGAACATTTAGATCACAATTCATCAGCAACTATTATTAATGGAGTTTGGATGAAACTATATTACAAGCCAATTGAAATCTCATTTTTCTTTCATTTTGTTTCTCTTCTTTTTCGATATTTTTTTCCTATTTTCTGTTGATGCTGATTAACGCGAAATAAGAATTATCAGAAAATATTTCAATATTTTCTTCTTTAAAGTAGAGAAATAACTACTTTTGTCAAAATTAAGCATCAAATAACTTATGTCATCATTAACGATACTCTAATTTTTTAGCCAAATCTTGTTTAGATCTGATTTCACTCTTCAAAAGATTATTTAACTTAATTAAGTGTCACAATAATTTGGTCAATGTTTTTCTTTTCCTTTCTTAGTTTCAATTCCAAGGTGTCATTCAACTGTTCAATTCTACTGTGAATGTCAACAATAAATCACCATTTAAGTTGAAATAAAATGAAAACAAAAAAATATACAAAGCATTTGAATCTTCCATTGTAATAAGTCTAGCTAAAACAAAATGCTAGAATTTAAATTAATGATGAAATAAATTGGACATGAATTTCCAAATTTGAATTTAACAAGAAATCTTTCTCTTCTTTATTCATCGAGTTTATTGATTTTAAAATTTAAATAAAATAACATGATTACTGATCATATTTTGATGTCAATTTTTTAGAAAAGCGAACTAAATTATTCACACAATTTTGATGCATTTAGAGCAATTTGATGTTTTGGTTATCAATTCATTAAAAACCTAATGCGTACTGATTCTTTCGCCTGAATAAAATTTCAGTTATTGAATTATTTATTTCAGCTGCATCATTTTTTAGTCTGAAATTGCTTTAAAAATGAATTGGTTAAGTGATGACCACTTCATTCTTTACAGATTTATAGATAAGACTTTACTGGACCTAAATTAAGCTTGCATTTCTTGAATTTTAACGTCTTTTATTAATTGGGCTATCAATAAATAACCAGTTTATAGATCAGTAATCGATTTGTTATTTCTGAAAATACTTGATTAATGATGAAGAATGAATTTCTTAGGTTTATACAGATCTACAAAAATTTTCATTAAGATTCATTAAGTCTAGCCTTGTTAGCTTTTATACAATCTAGAATTGTAAGCAACCAGCGAAGTGAGTGAGCTTGGAAATAATTTAAAATATTTCTCTCAGATTCCAGTAATCGAGAGTTTGCATCTCCATTATCCTGGAAAGTGTTCGATCAAATGCAAACATTTCTTCTTGTCCACTGAAAAGGTCTGTTGAATCTTTAACTTGAGAAAATTTGATTCCTAAATCATCCATCAAGGCTCTTTGTTCATCAGTTATATCATCGTCCGAATTACCAACCATAAACAATTCTTTAATTGGAACATTTGCGGAGAAAAGGACTCTTACCTGAAGAAAGAAAAAAGAAAACTTCATTAAGTTCAATGAAAAAGCATAAATCAAAAGCTTACCTTGTTATCATAAAAAGTATCTATCAAAGTGATGAATCGTCTAGCTTGTGTTTTAAGTTTTAGATTCAATTGAGGTATATCTCTGATGATCACAGTATGGAAAAGTTGACTAAGAGTCAGATAATCAACAGCACCAAGAGGCTGAAAAGTTAATAAATGAAAATATTGAAGCACGGTGATAAGATTAACAAAGAGCGCGGCAACTTACCCGATCGCAGAGTTCAGAGAACGATGAATCAAGGACTCTGCCGCAAGTTTTTGCAAATGTAACGTTTCTTCCTTTGATGACAATTGTTTTGGGCCTAACATTATCAGTTTCTCGGCTGGCAAATATCTTGAAGAGGCGATCCAATTCTTTGTCAGCTTTTTCTTCGTCTTTTCTGTAATATTGTGAACATAATGAGAAACAGTGTATTCAATTAAATGATAAATTCAAATTAAGCAACTTACAATAAATAAATGTTTTGCTTTGAAGGAAGAGATTTCTGACGATAATCTATACCAGAATCTAAGGCCATTGATTGACAGTGTTCTTTAAGTAGAGGTATGAATGGTAAAAAAGCACTTCTTTGTAAACCATTTTTATACAAATCTAGATTTAAATATGAATACCATGAGAGAAACGCAAGAAAAGTCAATCTTTAGTTAATTCTTTCAAAAGTAACATCTTTGACTCACCAACCATCGGGAGGTCGATTAGATGTTGCGATTAAAACCACTCCTCTTGAGAAAAGCTCAGTAAAGAGATGTTTCAAAATCATAGCATCACCGATATCCGTTACTTGAAATTCATCTAAACAAAGTAACCAAGATTCTTCAACTAAAGATTCAGCAACCGGAGGAATTGGATTATAACTTAAAGATTTTCGAGATGACGTTGCACTTGTTTTCTTTTTCTGTTCATGTATTCCTGGGGAAAATAAAAAGACATTTAGAAAAGTCATTTTATGCGACAATATATCATGTTTAGTTAGCATACTTGAATGAACATCCAACATGAAAGAATGAAAATGAATACGTTTCTTATTGTAGTCGTCTACATGGCAGTTTTGATAAAATAAGTCCATTAACATAGTCTTTCCACATCCGACAGATCCATATAAATAAAGGCCTTTTACTATCCGATTGGGTTTATTTTGTTGTTTGAAGATCTAGATCAATAAGTTCAAGAAATTATAGATCAGCTAGTTGTTTAAAATTTGTGAGATAAAAGTTACCTTTGATAAAAAATTAGATTTGATTAGTTTGTAACCTTTCAGCTGTTCATCTATTTCTTGGAAAGTTTTAGCAACTCTGAGTTGATATTCATCAGATTCGATTTCTTTGTTTTTTACCTTCCTTTCATAGACACTGAGAAAGCTATCTGCAAAAGAAACAAATTAAAATCATTGATCAGTAACATTATCAAATATTTTTATTTAAAATAGCAAATTACTCACCATCAGTTTTTTTAACATTATCAACCAACAAACATAACGCTCTTTTTTGGGAAGAGTAACAAGAGGCCAAGTGTTTGGATAGCAAAAGTTCCTTAATTAATTGCATGGTAAGATTTATACAACAGAATAAATGAAAAATAAATAAATCAACTCGAAATTAACATCGAATAATCCTTTAGATGAATATTCTTTAGATGTCAAACTAGCAAGATCATATCAAGGTTGCTACTAAACCATAATAACTCTGATTCAATGTTTCCAAAATTAAATCCTTGTATTGCTAAATTTGAACAGATAAAGAAAACATTATTAAACAATAAAGCTTGTAAAACTTTGCCATTTAACTAATTATGATAACAATTTGATAAATTAACTTTATATCGAAAAGTGTAAATTCAAAATAAACATTACAAAAGTCATCTGGCGGACTAGAATCTAATAAGAGTCTGCGAAATTCAAAGCTGGAAAATACAATGCATTGGTTAGTTGCATATTGGGATTTCAATAGATTTGATATAAAGCTTACTTGTTAGTGAAAAAGTATTAAGCATTTAACAATCACAAATTTTGCTTCGAAATAAAAAGATAAAGATCATAATTCAGTTTCATAGTTTATTTACTGAAGATTAATTAGACTAGATTTCAACTTTAATCTTATTTCCACTATGAGATATTCTTAATCAAGTTCATAAAATATGAAGGTAAGTTAGACAGAAGCTCAACTTATTTGACTTTAAATCGCCATGGAACAAGGGTAAAGGCCCAAAACACCCAAAGTCAAAACAGCCAAGTCCAAACCAGCAAAGTCCAAAATGGCCAAAGTCAAAACAGCCAAATACAAAGCTGCTTAAATCATATCAATTCAAATTGCAAAAAAGTCCAAAAAAACCTTTCTATGGATATTGATAAGCTAATTAATTAAACTTAATTAACTCGGATTGAGCCAAAAAATGGTCTACATACACCTATATCGATGCTCTTGTGTCCGCAAAATTATTGAGTCTATTGATTAAGTCAAACTTATTCAAAATTGAAGCAAAAGTCAGTGGTAAAAAAACAAAAGTACTTTTTGATACCCCTAATAGATCTGATCATTTAAGTAGTTTTATTTGATTTAAGCAGCTTTGTATTTGGCTGTTTTGACTTTGGCTGTTTTGGGCCTTTACCCAATCCGTGACTAGATTTATGAATTTCTGATTAACAAAACCAGACATCAAAGCTATTGCAAAAGTATTGTCACCGAGCATTCTCAAGTTTTAGCTTCGGCAAAAAAAGATCACTCTACGATCATAATTTAGATTCATAGTGCATTTACTAAAGATTAATTAGACTCGATTTCAATGTTAAATCTTGTTTCCACTATGAGATATTCATGATTCAGTTCATGAACTTCATTTATAACTCTATTTTGCAAATGTTAATGCTCTAAAACATGACAATCAACTGATTAACAAAGAATAACTGATTATTAATATCAATTTAAAAGTTTAAATTCAAATTAACGCGTCAAAGTAAGTTAGCAATTCGTGCTGGTACTTAAAGTGCTGATAAATACAGAACAATCTTCGTGCTTCAGTAATGAATGAAATTCCCAACTTTTTTACTTTTGTTTACAAAGCTTAAGCAAGAAATTTAAGCACGAAATTCATTTAGAGCATCGATCGAGATAAGCTTTTCATGAATATTGTCAACAAATAGAGTCACATTAGAAACTGTCCTTGATTTGATCAGTTTGGTAGCTAATCTCATATCGAACACTCAATTTCTCATTGGAAATGTTGCAAATTCAATTGTTAGATCACTCATGAATCATGATATTTATCTAAGCAATCTTGAGATAAATTAAGCTCCAATCAATATGAATGATGAGCATGTATTAAATGTATTTTATGAAACTGCGTATATTGTTAATCTATTAGTACATTTGTTTCAGTAGTAAATCTAAATCCAAAAATTTCCGCTTTTTAAATGCAAAAGAGGTTCAATTTTCTTTCATATTGATCGTTCAGCTTGGATTCAACATTATCTAGCTCAAAATTTCTGTATAGAGAAGTGAAGAAATATTTTTATTATTTTTATAATTAGTGATTGTTATTGACATGGCACAAAGTATACTTTTGTCAATTGTTTTATTTACTTTAATTGTACTTCATTTGACAACAATAACTAAAGCACATTGGAAACAATGTTTCGATGATTCGTGTCCGATTAAAAATATTAAATTTTCATCTAAATCCAGTTCTCGTGTCAGTTCAGGTCGTTTAGATACAGTCAAAACTGCTTACCCTTCAAATGGCGATGGAGTCTGGTTTGAGATGAAAGCACCTGCATCTGGCATCCCTGGTCAGACAACAGCGATTGAATACGATGACGATGACGACAAAGTTTTATTTGCTTGTAGTGTTCGTGTATATACAATTTATAAGGATAATTACAATCTGACCATTACTGATTACAATATCGAGCCAGAATTAAATGGGACTGCAATTTACTTCAATGATAAACTCTACTGTTCCTGGGCTATAATGATAAGCAACTCTACATTTCCTTATGAGTTGATTGATCCACCTCAATATTACATATCGGAAAGCGGATATCAAATCTATTACAACTTGACCCAAACTGTACCTATTGCTGCAGTCAACTACAGTCAGTTACCTGGAAGTGTTGAACCATTTGTCGATGGATATCAATACAAAGCTGTTGGATCAGAAAAGTATCTCTTAATTGCTAGAGTAACAAATGATTCGACTGATTTCTTGTTGAAAGTTAATGGAGAAACTCCAAGATTGGTTCAAGTGAATCTAAAAAGTGACATAAGCATAAATATTGAGTGCAATTTCGTGGAAGGAAGCCTTACTATGACCACAAAGGCTTATGGCATGAAAAGCAATGTATGGTATTGGAATGTTGGGAGAATCGATGGAGATGAATGCCTTTGGTCATTATCTGACTCATTGGAAGTTCATTCGTTTCCAGCAAAACTCAAGGAAACGACTTATCAATTGCAGATTATTGAAAACAAAAGATTTGTTCATTATGATGAGAAAAATTTCAGAATAATAACACCTACTTCTGCTTCCAGTTCATTAACAATTGCAAAATCATTGTTAATTTTCATGTTATTTTCTGTAATCTTCATGTAATCGAAAGTATTAATACCTTTACCTGAATCTTCAGTATTTACACATTTGTTAAATTCAGTGGGAAAACATGAATTATTAAACAAGATTTATAATTGTTTTTATTTAAACCAATCATTTGCCAATTTAGATCACTATCAATCAAAATGAATCTAAACCTAATTCTCACAATTTATCTGTTTTTTTCTTAATGGATTATTACTATCTGTCCGGGAAAATGTTTTATTTATTACGATGACTAGATTTATGTATTTCTGATTAACTCAATCAGATATTTAAGCTTCCCAATCAATATAAAAATATCGCAAATGGTGCTTTATCACGGGTCATTGTTCTTAGTTGCTGGGTTTTAACAACATGAAATTGTAGTCAATAATAGAGAAAAGTAAAAATATTGACATTTATTGTTTCTTATTATATTATTAATATCGACAAAGACAAGAACTATGAGTTAATTTATGTTAATGAAATAATCATCGACAGTCCAGTGATTAAAGAGTAAGTTAAAAATGTTGATTAGGATGAAATTGAGAAATCAAACCTTGTAAGTGTATCATTTTTATGTCAATTACAGTTATTTCCATTTCCTCGCGATGAAGTATTGATACATCTTCAATTAACTCGGCCTTTCTCCCATGTTCTGCGATCACAATAAAATTTTTTCATCGGTTACAAAATTGTACCAAAGAGATTTATGAATGAAGCAGAATGCAGTCAGAATTTTTGTCGAGACACAGATACACGAGCTTTTTTGAACAAATGTAAAGATAAAATGAATTATGATGTTATACATTTATAAATGAAGGATTTACTTTTGTAATTTCATTGTGTAACTTTTGTTTCTACATTTATCGGTAAAAAAATATTGCAAAAATAAAGAGTAAATTATTTGAACAAAAAAAAACTTGATCGAGACTTTGAAAAATGACAATTGAATAAAAATATTTGTAACTGAGGAATCATTTGTGTACTGAGAATAGTGTCGATTGAAAAAATAATCACAGATAGTTGAAGTATAAAATTTGATTTTGACTATAGAGCTTTGACTTATTAACCAATCAATCCTTTGCCACCAGCGACACCCTTCTTAACACCAGCAACACCAGCAGCACCAGCGGCCTTCTTAAATCCTGCAGCACCAGCAACTCCAGCTTTTCCTCCTGCTTTTGCAGCTGCTCCAGCGGCGAATCCTTTCTTGCCTCCTTTAGCACCCTTCTTGAATCCAGCGGCACCAGCAGCACCAGCAAATCCTCCTTTAGCACCCTTACCACCCATAGCTCCACCAGCAGCACCATAACCAGCAGCTTTACCGAATTTGAATCCTTGGCTCATTCCGAACTTCTTGACAACTCCCATTTTCTTGTTGAATCCAGCACCACCGGCCTTTGCGAATCCTCCTTTCTTTCCGAATTTCTTACCGAAAGCTCCAGCAGCGAATCCTTTCTTCACTGCAGCACCTTTTTTGCCTGTCAAGTGGATAATCAGTTATTCAATCAGTTTAGTTGACTTGAGCAAATGCTTGCAGTTTAATGAACTGAAATACCATAGACTCATTCACTTGGTAGATTGTTCAATTAAAACATCTAAGTTTATTGTCTTACCTCCAGCGGCTCCAGTGGCTCCAAATGCGGCACCACCTTTAGCTCCTTTAGCTCCTGCTTTGAATCCAGCTTTGCCTATGAGAGTAAATATTTCAAGTTTTATATTTTTGTTGATTTTTGTCTTGTTTTTGTTTTAATTTTCAACACTTACCTGCTTTACCTCCTTTGAACCCTGCTGCTGCTGCACCTTTCTTTCCAGCTTTGTGGGCTACCACTGCTGCTCCTCCTTTACCACCCACAGCTGTTTCGGCTTCTTCTAGATCTGAACCAATCTCTCTTTTGTTTCGACTTTCGATTGGAGATTCATCAGCTTCATCAGGTTCGAAGTTTTCCTCAGCATCATCTAATTCACTTTGATCGGAATCTTCAGACTGACATTTTGCAACTTGTACAAACATCATTGAGAATAGAGCAAGTAAAAGAACCTAAAGTCAAAATGGAAATAAACAATTTAGATCAACACGATTCAGAGTTTCGTAAAAGTTAGTAAAAATTTCCACTTACCAATCGTATGTTCATTTTGATGGAGTTTTTGTTGAGTCTTTTAGGAACAAAAATTTGAAAAAATCGCAACTGTTAAGGCACGAGATAAAGTCAAAAAGCTTTGGTTTGGGGCTGTAGTTGTTGTTTTTACTTTACTTGTTAGATGGTTGAAACTGAACTGATACTTTTCTCTTGGTTTCAATTATTATTTATACTTATTCACCAATAATCAGGACCACATTGGAACAGTATTAATGGAATGGTTTCCCGTTGGAAATGACCTTAACAGGAGATAATCTTTGAAGCAGATATCGTTCACGGGATAACCCGTTTTAACATAACTTTTAACAATAATAGTTTAAGGTGGTTGACAAAAATGGAGGAGGAGGAAGTATGCTTTTTGGGTTCAAATCAACCTTTCATAGATATTTGTTGATTTTGATGAATGATCTTGAAATAAGGTCCAATGCACTTACGAGGTGTTCAAACGGGTAGGTTAAAGGATGAGGACCTAAACAACCTAGATTTTGATTTCTTTCGAACTAATTTTTTATATGTAAAATGACATACAAAACAAGATTGTGTAAGCCATTTTTTGATACACTTTATTCAATGGCATTAAGACCAGCATCTGATTGCCATATTTTTTCAATTTAAATGTTTATTTAGTTTCGAAGCTTTCCGAAACTGTTGATTGTCTGACTAAGGATTAGAATAAGAAAAGTGGAAACAATTGGATTTAAGTTATTCTTAATTTTAGCACAATTAACACTCGGGACCGTATGTTCGCGTCTAATAGGATTAAGACCAAGCTAATTTTTGTTCAAAAAGGGTCGATTTCCAGCAATTTTCGAAATTGTCAACAGTAGTATTCAATAGTAGATGTGCATTTATTTCAATATTTTGTGCTTTCTTAGTCTTTTTGTGTTAAATTCGATATTATATAATCTGAAATAATGGGTACAGGTAAAACCTGAATGAGCTTGAAATTGGCCAAATTATTGCGTATCGAGCTGAAGGTAAATCTGAAAGTTAGTTGCTGAGAAACTGAATCGCTCTAAAACTGCAATCAGTATCACTCATCAGTATCTTGCAAATCCTGAGCGCCATAACCAAGAAAATCGCCCTGTACCTAAACCAATACTCAATAATCGAGATCTTCGACATGTTTTGCGTCACATTACACAAGAAAAGAAATCGTGTGAAAAGACAAGAAGGGAGCTGAGTTTGTTCAAGAGATACCGTTTAAATGCTGCAAGAGCTGAAAATATCGAGTTCTGCAAGTTGCAAAGCAGCCAATGAAAGACATTCATATTAGGTAAACCACAAAGTCTTTGACAGTTTTTCAATAATTGATTTCAGATGATCAATTAACATAGTTTAATTTATTCAATTGTTTCGATTTTCTAAAATAATAAATCAATGTTTTCTCTTTAATTTACACTCAATTTTATTATTAAAAACATTGGTTAACACACTTAAATTGTGATTTAATTAAATTATCATTTTTTGAAAATTCTAAGTTCTGAATCAAATTGTTGATTGCAAATGATCAGCAATTAGTAATTAAGAAAAATTGATATCAATCGAAAGCTTAAACTCCATATGATTATTGACAAAAATTTGAAAACTCTAAGCATTACCATTATTTAATTATTTTGATTGATTAATGATGAAATTGTCCTTTTCCGACAATTTTCTATGGGATTTTTCAATAGACTTTTATATTAAAATTCCGAAAAATCCACGAAACTGTAAAAGTTTCCTTTCTATGGAGATTTAATGTTAAATGAATCTTTAATTATTCAGAAATAATTAAATAATGGTGATGATTAGAGTATTCAAATTTTTGTCAATGATAATATGGAGTTTTAGCTTTCGATTGATATCAATTCTTCTAGATTATGAATTTTTGATCATTTTTAATCAACAATTTGGTGTAAAACTCAAAATTTGCAAAAAATGATGATTTAATTAAATCAGAATCTTAGTATGTTAATTAATGTTTTCAATCATGAAATCAGCTGCAAATTAAAGAGCGAATATTGATTAACAATTTTAGAAAAAATCGAAACAATTGAATAAGTTTAACTATGTTAATTAATCATTTGAAAGCAATTATTGACCAACTGTCAAAGACTTTTGTGTTTACCTAATATTAAAGTTAGATTGGAATACAAGGAAATACATACGATTTTGATGACAATTGGCTAAGAGTGATGTTTTCTAATGAGAAAATCTTCAACCTCGATGGTCCTGATGGTTTCAAATCTTACTGGAAGTAGAACAATTTTCCATACGACAATCCGGAAGTGGTGGAGTCATGATTTGGAAAGGAATCGCCTACAATGGTGTAACTGATATTTTTTTGCAAAAATACTATGAACTCTGCGAATTACATTGAATTGTAAGATCAATATATGCAGCTATTAAGCAAAAATTTTGCGGAAATAATGCAATATTTCGACAAGATAATGCCTCTATCCACTCTTCTGCGGCTACCAAAGAATGGTTATCTTAGGAATCTACAGGGTGTAAAGAAAGTTTTGGCAAATAAGCTCAGCCCACTTCAATGCGCAGAGATCCTTTTTGGTTTCTCTATGTGAGTCAAACCATTATTTTTAAAAAAACCGCTCTCTCATACGCAAACTTTTGAGTCCCGCCCTACCAAAACTTTCTTTACACCCTGTAGTGAGGTAATGAAGTATACAGCAAGATCGCCTCATTTTGAATCCAATTGAGAATGTCTGGTCAATATTAGCCCGCAAAGTTTAGGCAAATGGACGTCAGTATCGTGACGTAGATGAACTTAAAGTATCAATCTCGAAGGAACGGCTGAATATTGACCAAACAATGAGGCCAATCATCATAATAATCATGATAATCATTATCATGTCAATTAAGGTTAGATTGGTCGAATTAACAAGGTAAATCAACCCATTATTAAAGGCAATAAAATTAAAATTAATCATTTGGTCTTAGTGCTATTGAATGATAAAATCTGACTATTAGTCATTTTATATTCATTAGGTCATTTTTATTATTTTAAATAACCTTTCTATTTGAATTAACTTGATAACTGTCCTTTTAAAAATATCAAATGTTTACTAAATCATTCAAATAAACAATTTATGGCGCTTTTCTTAATGCTATTGAACACAGTGTATTCAAAATCGTTTTCGCATGAATGGCCTTAAAATTTTTCAATGAAAACCAAGATTTCATCATCAACCAATCATGGTGATCATGAATATGCAATTGCACTGTGTTATTATATTCTTTTAGGTTGATTTGCTTTTTTAGACTCTTTCAACCTGAGATGCCATTTACAATGGCTTTTATCCATGAAATATTAGGTTGATTCAGTCAATATGAACGGACTTTGACCTGTTGTCGCTAAGTGACCGTTTCACGCAGTCGCAGTTGTAGTACACTGATCGACACCATTTTTCAATTGCTTCACACAATTGAAAAGGGCACTCAGAGGAGTAAAACACACCGACTAGGAACAATTTTCAGATTGATGGTTTATTGTTGGATTGCGAGTATATGTGAAACTGTCTTTAGATTCAAGAGTTGACTGAAAAATTGGTATATTGATATTTTAAGTCGATTAATTCAATATCATTTGCATTTTGTCCATGTGGTCCATTTACTGGCCTACCGATGCACAATTTAAACGAACATAATATTGCATACCTTATACCTTATAACATACAATTATAAGGTATTTATAAATAAGCGAAATGAAAAATATATTATTAAATTTCATATAATATTTATAGCTTATGGTCCCCTGAAAATCTTGCTCCTCTCAACTTGCTTGAAGTACAATGGCAATTATTAACATGGTAAGTGTTGTTTTCACTACGTTTTTGATTTAAGTTAGATTGACAGCTGTTGTTTATGTTTGGCTATAGTAGGAGTGAATGTAAAACTGTCTTCCGAGTTTAAAGTAAAAAATCAGAAAAGCAATCTTTGTTAAATTTTGCACGTTTTGATAAGTAAAGTTCAAGAATAGTGTAAAATAATTAAACGTCTTATTGACGTAGACTAAGGATATAATTAATCCAATATAATTTTATAATGTCAAGATGTACGTCAATAGAATAGCAAAACAAGATCGTTTTAAATATCAATCTGATATATTCTTTGTA